CAGCTTCCTAAGCGTATGTCTCATCTACCTCTATTAACTTCAGCATATTTGTTGACCAATATGTTCTTGGTTATTTTGTTGCCAGAGTCAAGTCATCCAGTCATCTGATCTTCAGTTTTCAGTCGGAAAAGGCGGTTTCTGATGAAAGTTTGCAACATGTTGGAGATACTTTTATTGACGAATAAAGCATCTGAATCAATATAGAAGGACTGATTTGACTTAGTTTTTATTTGTCTGTTTGACAAAGGGGATATCAGATAATGCCTTAGAGTAGGTCAATTGTTTGTTTCCCCTTAATGAAATTCAACGATGATCTAGTTATGCAATATACTCGAAAAGGTTTTGACTTTGCTATAGAGAGGTTATCAGGTGACTGAATCCTTTACAGATACACCAAAGGAGTATTACTTTCAGTCCTCCACGAAACTCTGCTGTCTTTTTGTTCTGGCACATTCATTTTAAATGGGTGGTTTTCTTCAACAATCAATCTCACCCGACTGATGCTAATATAAAAGGAAGCAATCGATATTAAGCCAGTCAAGGGACATCAAAAACTTGAAAACGCTATGATTATGATGATAATCATAATAATAGTGTGAACAAAGTTCAGTGAAATGAAACTAACCAGAAAGAACATTGTTACGACTAGGACATAGAAAATGATCTAACGGAACCCTTTTTGATACAAGCTCTTGGCTTTATTTATATGTGGCTTATGTTTCATCAATATATAAGTAGTGGAAAAGCTGTCTTTTACAGTAAACGATTTTGACCTCGTGGATATATGATGCAGTTCTAAGCAACCTAACTTGAGAAGTTTACTAATAGGAGACTTCAGCATCCTGTGTTCAATGTTCTTCAACCAAACCAAGTAATGTTCAGCTAAGTGTTTCCTAAGAACTTACTCACAGAATACATTGTGATTAGCTTCCAGAAACAAGTAAAGTAATAGATACATCGGAAGTAATTTGCCCTTCACAGATTACAAAATAGTACTCCTACTTGTCTCAAAGAAAAACTACTCCACCAAATATATATATCATCATTATTTTTCTTATTTAACAATATAATTATTCCACAATGACAGATCTTTATTTACCTTCTGGTACTTTTGTTGCATATGAGAGTGGAAGGCACTAAGGAAGCATAGTCTTATTCCGTACTCAATGACAGATCACATTCAACGTCACCAGTAACTACTAGTAGCTATTGCGATTGACCAGAGAACATAATGAGCATACAAGAGGTTAAACTCAAGATCTACGGTCTAGGTGCATTCACTATCTTCTGTTATCGCTTAGTGTGTTACGATGAATATGAAATCTCATTAGTGATTGCAATGAACACACTATCTATGAATATCATTTTCTGTCATGAAATTATTCATTATTGTAAGTAATACCTTGTAATATCACTGACCTATTCACCTATTGTGTTTTTTAAGCCATAGAAAACTTTGTTTGTTTCATGTTTCACCGAAGCTGAGAATTCGTTTCAGTTGACTAAAACATATGTTGAGATAAAAACAGAAGTAAATACATCCAGATGAAAAGTTTCCAATGAAATGGAAAAATTTTTTAAACTCAGAAATTAATTATTTTGTCAAGTAGCAGTTAATCTTTGTTTAGATTTAGTAAATCTAACTCGGATTTACTAAAATGTCTTAAGGTGAAATGATTTCACTAAGTGTCATAATAAAAGTCATACCTTTAAATAAAAGAAGCGTTGCAGCTTCTGAATCACCGTTATCAAGTACATCAAACCTTAAGTCTTCTAACGTGTTGAAAAGAAAGACTTGGAGTTCAGTTTCAACTATGCACTCTCAGTATGACTCCCATTGTGGCTCATGCTACTGACAAGATTTATTATTAGCATATAAAAAGATGTTCGTCGGCACAAAAAACATCAAATAATCGAGAGATAGATTCGACGTCAAAGAGAGAAAATGAACCAATGAACGAAAAGAAGACAAAGGAACACAATACGAAGGACAAAAGTAGCACAACACGGAAGATCTGCGAAAATGACGATTTTTATATGATATATATATAATTTCCTTATATTATAGAGATATCAAATTCCAAATAAACATTCCATTACCAAGTCTCTTGCCTTCTACCGTTAACCATACCAGGTTCCACCTTAGGAGAAATTTGTTTGATAAAGTCTCACAGTATTATTCACTATTATTTATTGGTGACGTTACCAGCACAGTTATACTCTATCACAATGCCCAAGTTTTATTCTTATATCCCATACCGGACGGATATTTCAATATTTTAACTCGTAGTTTCAATTCGACAGTATTTTCAATTATTATAATACTGTAGGCAGTTTTCCTAAGTTTATGAGTTAATAAATCGTCCTAAACATGTCATTCTCAGCACACCAACAATGACACCCCACGGCTGAGATGTTTTCGATAGACTGACTCAATTAGTTATTATTCGGCTGGATAGAGAGAGTATCAGTGTACAGCATTAGGCATTTCAGTAATCCTTATACAATCAGCTGAAGAAAACATATTTTTTATGAGCTCGCCCTACGATAAAAACAATTTAACTGCATATTTCTGCATTAAGATAATAAAGCTTCAAGGAATATTGTCGGTATATGCAATGGACAATTCTGCATTCCCCAAAGATATTCAAGACAGACACGAGGTAAAAACTCAAAGACTGTTACTTGCTGTATCTGTTCATTCAGGAGAAAATTACTGAAAACCAAATATAATTTGATAGTTACCTCGTTCTCCTCTTGCATATCTTTCAGAAGTTGAGTGTTAGGCGACTCAATTAATTTCAAAATAAGTTTCTTATGACACTAAAATCGTTTAATTTGAGGTCATGGGGCGTCAGTGTCTGTTTGTCACGAAATATAACTCTAATTGAGTCACACCTACACAAACCCAACCTCTAAATACCCTATTACACAACTCATATTTGGTTAACTTCAAGATGAAATTCCCAGAGTTTAGATGAGAAGTACTGGCTATACAATGAATAATAATCTACGAATCATTGGGTTTAGATTTATTGGCTAAGTGATATAAATGTCAGTCTTGTAGACTAAAGGTCTTACTTGATGCTTTGTGCAGTAGAAGATTAGGGCTGACAATTAGTCCCAAACAAACACATAACAGATGTCCATCTCCTAGAAGTTTTCCGTGGTCATCTTGCTGATGTGTGTTACGAAATTTACCTTGATACCTTAGATGTAACTGTCAGTGATCACTTTTAAGATTCACCTTTAAAGCTAACTGCCACAGCATGAACAGTCAAGTAAAATACTTCTTTTATAAGAAACAGGTTTGTATTCATTGAAAACATCTTTAACTTCTTCAGTAAAAAATGCAACAATCATGGAGGCCAATAATAATTAAGCATAAATATCTTCTGAATAAGAAGTCAATATAGGACATGTACAGGTAATGGAGTTGAGGAGACCGTAGGTACCAGTGAAGCATGATAAGTTGTTCCCGGTGGTACTTGAAGACGGATATAATTAATAAGTAGACTAGTCATGAGATATCATTATAACTGATATTAATCAGGAGTGTATAGTCCTTAAATTTTAATCACTTTTATAACAAATATGCTCACGAAAATCTTCATTTCAACACGTAAATTCACTGGAACTGGCTTCCATATGCGAGATGCTTTACTTAACTTTTGGCACGTCTACTGACATGGTCTTGTTCGGTGATGAAAGCTGCAAATCACATGATTCCCTGAATCCTTAATATGAAAATCTACAATCTTCATAAACTGAATTTAAAAGTTTAATTCTACTCAGCCAGTATAGAGTGTTTAGACCCCTTCACTTACTTGAAAAATCATACCAAACCTGTTAGACTGATACTGGACTCAGTGTCAACACCAACAAAAAGAGTTTGCTTGGCTTTCAATGAATTTTACCACCTACGGCTTAGTGAAGACATTTTGTTACCAACAAAGGGTTGATTGTGATTTACCTCAGAGCACTTCGTTGCACAATATGTCCACAAAACAAGGCTACTAAAGTTATATGACCTAAGAATACTTCAGGTATTTGATGTCTGTCGACTTTGTGGTATTCCCTAAGCTTTATAGAACCACAGTGTAGGGAATACAGGAGCTCGATGTGAAGTTCATGTTGGGGAAGGCTGGTCACTTAAGTTAGTTCTGGACTTACACCACTTCAGATGTTTTCTCATTGTAACTGTGCGTGGGATTCGATAACACAAAAGTGAAAAATAGTCACTTGAATATACAGAATCACCCTAAATGTCACTGAGTATTAGTCTGACCTGTGTAGGAAATAATAGTCTGTCTAAAAGAAGATTCAAGTGACTACTGTTACACATTGTCAGAAACGTTAGGTGATATGTTTGAGAGCTGATCTTAGTGGTTCAGATAGACTCACACTGTGGTGTCATTCTAACTGTACTATCTTGTTTTATTTCTATTTGTTTTACCTACCTTATAACACCATCCTACCCTTGATTACCTGGTTATTTAGTCTTCTATTTGTTTTATTACCTCACCAAACATGTGCGAAGGCCGGGTTCAATTCCCAGCAGACACACTCCTAAACCACATCTAGCCTGTAGTAAACCGGGGAAAGAAGGAAGGTTGGACGTTAAAGCGACTCCACCTTTATTGAAATTTTAAAACTTAAGGTTAAAAAGCTCTCAGTCCTAATAGGAATTCAAAAAAAGAAAAAGCCTGATGTATAGATATGAAATGTAGCATTTCAAACAATTAAAGCAGTAATACTAGGTCATATTCTGAAAATGTCCGTTTGTTATAAGTTCTAACAAAAAAAATCAATCAATGAACATTTTTAAGCGTTAAGAAAACTTTAGTAAAACAAAGCAGTGAGTATATAAGCAAGCGGTGATAGATTTTCGAATGAAAAGTTAAAAATTTCTAATTGTTATCGAAAATATTTTCTAAAATGTCCAAACCAGTAAAATAGATCAGTTAAAGAAAGTATTGTGTTGAAAATATTATTTCTCATCAAGAATACTGTCGTAATTTGTATTTATCAATAGTTATATATCTGTTTCTTGTTCTGACAGTGATATGTGACACTAGAAGACATTGTTCAATAGTCGGTAGAAAGGCTGCTTTTGCTGCTCTATAATTTGCCTCATTCACTTGAGCATATTTCAATCCCAATTCATCCATACAATATGAAGCCTCTTCAGTATTCCATCTTTGTGTTAGTGTTGGACCATCTGTGTTAATCGAGAAATTGGCATCATCTTTAGCAAAACGATGTATTGGATGATTTCGTAGATCTCTGTAATTTACTGCACCAGTTAAAAAGCTTGACGATGGGCATAACTGGCAAAACAAATAATAATTTTAATGATTATAAATTACTGAGTAAATGGCATCTAATGATTATGTTACTGTTATTACTGATTAGTTCCTTTAAACTCTCTGGTAAATTTGAGTGTCACATGGAGCTACGGTTTATTGTCTAATCGTGGGTTCTAATCCCCTTCCATGCACAGAGGTTTGAGAAGTCCTAGGCCGTATAGCTGGTCTTCTCACTATAGGCCTGGCGCATTGCCACTATCATGGGGTTGTTGAGGAATACTGAACATTGACGCCTAATTCCCTACCAGTAGTATAATAACTGTAAATTAAACAGTTTTGTTTTGCTGCTAGCGTGCTTATTTTGTAGGTTGTTCATCAGTTAACACTCAGACCTATCAGATTAAAATCTTTAATATATTTTCTTATCTTACATTTCAAAGTGATATGGATTTGAATGAATAAAACACTTTTAAATCTTTCAGATCGATGTGAAAGTGAGCTTATTTTAAGTTTCGGTCTGTTAGTTCTCCTCATAAATGTAAAAAGCAGTCAACGATACTCACCAGTTAGAAGTATTAAAATGAGATGAAAGAATAATCCCTCGTATACAACTCAGTTATACAGTTAGAACTCAATTACCCGTTATCAGGTTACGGACCACACTTATTATGTGAAGGCTAAAATACATGGAATTGGGTTCGAACCAGTCATCCATTAGACAGAAGTCGAGTTCTTACGCCAGTGACCTACATTTCCTGAACAGTATCTGGGTGGGGCGCATACATCCACCATACGACCCCCCTCCATTATTATCTACAACCATAAGTTCGTTTATGATCCTAGTAATCCAGGCAGATTTGACAACACAGAACCATCAGACCAACAAACAGATCAAGCACCTCAAGTATAGCCAACAGAGAGAGAGGACGTTACTTGTTTGTTTGTGCCTATCAGTAGAATCCAGGATGTGTGTTTCTTCCTGATTGGAATTCATCAACTGGGTATATTTGTTCCCCAGTGAGTGATAGTGTTTTTACTGAAACTCTAACCCGGTACCTATCGCTTTAAATGCCAAAACCTTATCCAGTAGGTCATTAGGTCAGCTCATATATGGCATTCACTAATAGTTAGTATACGAAAATGCTCCTTTACTTTCAGAGACCCAGTAGAGGTTGTTTGTGCTTAAAACTAATCTTGATTACAAGTTGAGTCGCTGAACTCAGTGATAAGTTGGAACTGATTGGTCATAGAGTTCCAGCGCAAGTGAATGAATGGTGGACAGGCTCTCTTCGTGACCTGAAGGTGGTGGGGTAGTGGGTGCGTACTGCTGAGGAGTCCCAGGCAAAGATGAGACATATGTTCAGGACTTCCTGGCCCCCAGTGGTTGTCTAACTGAAGCTGCTCTGTTATCAAATTTAAAATCAATCAAATCCTAGCAAACAAACAGCTGATAAATGCGAAATTGAGTTGAAAGTGTAACAGATTGTCGGGCTTTATGTATCTTTAACTGATAACAGAGAATAAATTCTATTGAGTTTCAAGAATTTACATCCCTACGAATAGAATGCACATTAAGGGAATCGAAATAAAACGAATATATTCATTGAGTCATTCATATTAACTGGAAATTATATTCAGAATCAGGAGTGGGATAATAATAATAATAGTAATAATATAGGCAAGGTGTAATAAACCAAGTCAAAATTCACCTCAAAATGAGAATGTTTCATCACACATACAGTAGATATATATGTACTTCAAACTGATTTTAATGCATATAAAAGATAATCACTGACTGAAATATCTACTCAAATGAATATTTATTATTATTATTATTATATCCTTTATTTCCTAGAGGAACATAGGGCTTCAGCTGCGTGTCTCCATTGCCTTCTGTTTTCTGCCAAGTCTGCCCACATGCTTTCATCTCATCTTCACGTGACCTCCTCCAAGTCACCCTTGTACTGACGACCAACTCGCCGCTCCCCTTTGGGGTTCCACTCGAACAATCGCTTGTCTAGTAATGTCACTTGATGGTTTCCTCAGCGTATGGCCAGTCCATCTCCATTTCTTCCTGCCTATTTGTTTCACGATCGGCTCCTGGTTGGTTTGCTCATTTCCAGAGATCCCTGTTGCTGATCTTTTCTGACCAGCCATCTGATCTTGAGTGGTATTGAGCGAAGACAACTGTTAATGAAGGTTTGAAGTTTGTTTGAGATGCTCTGATCTGTATAGTAGCACTGACTTCACATTGTAGTTGAAAATCCGAATCTTATTTTTGATGCTGAGCAGTGCTGTTGACCTCCACACAGACTTATTTATTGACTCATTTCAATTCTGTATATCATAATATTCCAATTATGCATGTGTTATGAAAAGAGTGGAGGAGAAAAAAAAGTAAATCAATATTGTTATTGTATTCATCCTACCTCAAAATGTACACCAGTATCAAGAAGTGCAGTGTACAATTTTTCATTGTCTACAACATGATATCCATTACCAATACGTTCAGCGTGTAGTGTATTCACTGCTTCATAAACACTATTGGCTGAACTATTTTCACCGACATGAACTGTACGATGAATATCAAACTTTTTAGCTTCTTGAAATGTTTCAATAATTTCATTTGCTACAGGCTTTCTTTCTAAAACTGAATCATCACCTATTTGATGTGAAAGAAAAAAAGAAAAAATTCAAAAGAATTTGGCAAATATTCTACATAAAGAACGTAAATAGAATATCAGTCAGTCGTTATGCTTGAATTTAGGTGCATTTATCAGGTGATTGCAAACCTTATGACTAGAGAGTGACAAAGACTTCTATCAATTTGGTAAAACTTGAAAATGGGTAATGAATGTATATTAAATTATATTTTATTGCTGAGAACCGACTAATGAACTTTTGTTTCAAGTCTGATTATGAAATGAATCGCAAACTAGGGTATATTGAACAACTGTTTCGTCCTGGTTCCAGACTCTTCATCAGTACTCACCCACAAACCCACTAAGAATCAGTTACGAGGTCAAGCTCTTTGACCATTCAACCAGTTGAGCAGGAATCAAATGACCCGTGAATTTTAACCTCTGTCACTTCACGAAAATTAATGGATATTTGTTTACTGACAGTTGAATCTCATCATCAGTGGAATGTATCTTTTACTTGAAGGAAATGACCAAAATCCTCGTAGAATTCAACCCTGATCAGCCGTAAATTCCAAGGGAATCATCACTGTTTACAGAATTTTATGTTTAGGCCCGACTTAAATGGTTCTGAAGCGTGGAATATTCTGATATATATTGTCATAGTCGGTTACGAACATGTATTGCATGCGTAAAAGTGAAAAGACATAAATAAAGCAAAACTATTTAAACCGTTAATCGGCTGACAGATAAGAAATCAATATTCTTGATCTGCAGAAAGCTATACCAATCCTTTACCATTATATCAAATTTAGTATTTGTATTATTTATCTGCTTTATATTTAAGATAGTATTACAAAGCAAAGCATCGAATCTCAACTTATGGAAAGTAAGAACGGCTTACTTCATTGATATGTCCTTCTTAATTTTTGATACAAGTGATGAAACATCTCATCTTTATTATGTAACTCCCTTACCATTATATGCATACATTTATTTTGTTTTAACTTGAACTGCCTGTGTAAAAACTATATAAGCGCAAATTTCTGAGCACTGTTTACTAATTGTGGAACTTTCTGTCAACTGACAACATGTAAAATTTGCAAGTATGTTAAAACGTTTCTGTACCCAAACCTCAAAATTTATTTAGGATGTAAGCAGATGATGAGAAGCCAACGAAATAAATGATGGTACCAAGTTATTCTGCACAAACCACTGTTGCTCTCGCTTTATTCAACTGTTTTCACTCTGTAATGAAGATCAGATGGCGGGGTCGGAAAAAATCACCTACAAGAAACTATGGGAAGAAACAAAACAAGAAGCAATCGCCCAACAAATATGCGGGAGAAAGTGGAGTTGGATTGGACACTCGCTGAGGAGGCTCCTGGGTGACATCACGCGTCAGGCTATTGCTCGAGTGGAACCCGGAAGGGAAGCGGTGAGTGGGACATCTAAGCGTGACATGGAGGAGATCATGTGAGGCGGAGTTGAAACAGTATGGACTAATATAGATGCAAGTGAAGAGTACAGCAGGAGACAGAAGCAAGTGGAGAAGTGCACTTGAAGCCCTATGTTCCACTAGAAACCAAAGGGAACAACAACAAACACCGTGAAAATAGAAGTATATCTGATGTACAGTATTGTGTAGTTATTCACAAATAAGCTTACTACTTATAATCAATGTTTATATCCCACTGCAAATAGCCTTCAGGTAAATTAAACCTCCATTCATATTAAATATCCTATATGACCTATATTCCTGGTCATTTGTACATTGTCACTGGTATTCATGAGCAGACAGTTGATGCATGGTTAAAACATCACTTGTGAGCATAAGCATCACTTATGCAAGTGGTCTGTTCTGTATTTGTTTTTGAGGCTTTCTTTACATTACGCCTGAAAATAACTGATAACTTAGTAAAATAGCAGGAGGATAGGAGAAAACTGTGGCGGTGACAATAATGTTTCTCTTATTAAAAGAAATCTTTTTTTTAATGAATGTTTAATACAAACAAGATAAATTCGTGAAGCTATTCCTCATCGGTTTATGAAGTCAATTCCCAACTATGCGATCACAGATTCAAATTCATTCCATCTAGAAAGGTTAAGAAAGTCATTAACCTTCACATAATAGATTTGCTTCACTACCATGCGAGGAAATCTAAGAGGTTATTGAGTAATACTTTAATTCTTACAATTTCAAAAATGAAGCGTAGTAGATTTTTGTAGAAGCTTTGCTGAAATGCATAGAGATAAAAATAAAAGTAATTACCCAAAGGGTCAAAAAAAGTTTTATTTACATGAAGTAAGTTTTTCAGTTGTCTCGCTGCATATAATGGCAACAAAGTAGTGCAGGTAGAATGTCACTGTCATCACTGTCAGGTCTGTAAAGTAAAACTTATAAATAAAGGCGTATTTAATGAGTCGGTGGCACAGCGGTTAGGATGCTCGACGATCATACACATGGTTTTGGGGTTCGATCCCCGACCGATGCACACCTGATATCAATGGTTGGCCTGCCAAATTAAGACTACCGTTATCACATGCTGAAAATTCCATATTTTCAAGTATTGGTTTTGTAGGGATTTTGTTTGATTGCATGGAGGATTTAATCATGAGCTGACATCAGTTAGAGAACCACTGGAAAACCTGGGAGTACTGGACAGCTGTTTCGTCCTAGTTTGGGACTCTTCATCAGTACGCACCCACCGGGATTCGAACCCAGGACATTCTGGTTACAAGGCGAGCTCGTAGACCATATTTGTACCAAAATACTGTGTGGAATTAAGCTAAAATAAAATAAATAAGTAAAATTATCAAAAACATAATTTTTTTTAAACATATTAACGAGTTAATATCAAAAGAAAATTATCCAGACAAGATGAAAACACTTTAGTTTTGTCCATTATATCCTATTAATTTTTTTGCTAACTAAAATCATTGTAGTGCATCAGTGGTACAGTGGTAGAATGCTTGGTGACCACACATTTGGTCCAGGGTTCGATCCTCGGCCAAAGCACTCTTTTACCTCTCTAAGCCAGTAATAAGACTGGATAAACAGGGAAAGTTGGGCTGGGCATGAGGCTAGCAACTCCATCTATCAAAACGAAACACCACTGCTACTGAGACTTCAAGCCTCTAGCTTGAAGACCTATGTTCCACTGGGAACGTAAAAGTCTAAAAAATCACTTTATGTTTAATTCACCAAAACAAATTAAAGATAATTACGTAATCAGTTCACAATGAGTCAGATTAAAGAAATAGTGCTGATCGCTTTCTTCAGACTTGACTGAATTAGCCAAAAAACGGATTGTATTGAAGCAGTGCGGTGAGAGAAAACAGGAACATGTAGGGCGGACAAGAAGACTCTATAATATCTAATGTCACAAAAACTCGAACACCTATAGGCAAAAACCAGTAAGTTGACACAAGAAGCTGCGAAGACAGGACGTCAAGTGAACATCGAGAAGATGAAGGTGATGAAGATACCTAGCAGAAAACAACAACAATAACAAACACCGATCACTGTCAACGGGAGAAGTTAGAGGAGTTCAGCTCTTTCACTTACTTTGACAGGATCGTTTTAACTAAAGGAGGCAAAGATTGGAAAAGTGGGACATACCCTCATTAGTCTGGAATAAGTGTGGTAGTCTGCTTCACTTAGCATGAGAAACAAGATTTGGATTTTGAACACTGATGTCAAATCAGTGGTTCTGAGAGGTTAAGAGACTTGGCTTCTCAAGAAAAGCATTTCCAACAGGTTACTGTGAACTCATATCAACAGCTGTGTTCACTACATACTAAAAAATATGTTTATGAGAAAGGGTTAGCAATAAGAAATTTAGGCAAGAAAAGTAACTGAGAACTTATTGAGCAACAAATCTGCTAAAGAGAATGAAGAAGGACTGGAAATACGCTAGTTTAAGGAGATCGTGCTAAGTCCTTGAAAGAAACCCAAATAGGAGTCGAATGGTTGGCCGTCCAAGGGTGAAATGGGGGAAATCGTATTAGGAGGATATAAGAGTTTATAGGTAATCATGAAGTCAACCAAAGAGGACTACAGAGAACCGGATGAAATGGCAATGTGTTGTTGTGGTCTATTGGTCCATTTTTAACCTGAGAGAATAATTATAATTATGACAACAACAATAAAACAGAGATAAAATTATTCGCAGCATAGAATCAAAACTAAATAATCCTGAAATAATGAAAGAGTTGTAAATTGATGTTGCTGCAAATTCTTGGAAAGTTAAAGGTGAAATTATTTCAGAATTCTTTGTGATTACATAAAATTTCATTTCTATAAAATAATTAATTTCTAGGAATAGTATCACTAACCTGCAACATCTATACCAACAACTCCATGGGTGTTATACTTTTTAGCCAAATCTAATGTTTCTTTAGCTGTTTCCGGCATATTCCTCATAATTGATAAAATAGTACGAACTTGTAAGCGATTCTTTTCCCCAGCCGATTGCAGCTTCTCCAGAACTATTTTAAGAACTTCTTCTGCATCTAAATACCGACCCGTTAAAGTGAATGGACAAAATCTTGTCTCTACGTAGCACAGTTTCCCAAGCTGTACACAATCTTCAACGAATTCGTCACAAATACGAGCCAGAACATCCTAAATATGACAGGAAAGAAAGGAAAAACAAGTAAAGGCTGATACCCTTTGAATTTGATAAAGTAGCAGACAGTATATTAACATAGACTTATAAACTTTTAGTAGTGTGTTGGCACTTGTAAAGCAGTACAGTTAAGCCATCAAAAGCTATGTGATTACCTTGCCGCTTAAGACGAACCCAGATGTTTGCATAAAGTAGAAGGTAGCTGACTTCTGAATGCTAAAGTGTATACATAATATTTTTCACCAAACTGAAATTGCGTGATGAATAATGCATATGTAAAGATTTGAATAGAATTCAATAATAATTTGTTCAACGCAGTCTCAGTTGAAAACTAACTTCGAAAGTCAAATTTTACAGACTGACGTCTGACAGCTTAGATGACGTAGAGAGCTCGATGACAAGATAGAAAAACTCTATAGATCTTGAATATTAACTGAATTCACCTGAGAGGCTACTGTACCTTTCAGCGCATTGTACAGTATGTATTCTAGTTATAGCTGTTCTTGTAAAACGCTGGTCCTTGATTGTTCACGTGGAGTATTTTTTGGACCATTATCTTTGTCACTTTACCCAGGGGGCTTCTGAACGTCTTTTACACCATGAGTTTATAACAGTCTAAAGGCGTATAAGCCTAAATTCTGTTTTACAAAACTGTATTATTTTTGATTTTCTTGGCGATGAACACTCATTACACATGGACACTGAGCATTTTCTGAAAAAGAAGTAAACGGAATTTGAGACAACTCGTAGAAGTTTGGTAAAAACTTTCATTTCCGAGTTGATAAATATCAAACCAAAATGTTTGTTGAATTATGGAAAAGGATAAACTGGTAATGGATTGAAAGTCAGTTCGACCACTTTCAAAATTTTTGAACAGTTCAAAAAACAAAATGAAATTCTTTAAAATACGACTGCTAAATCCAAAATCACTGAATTGAGGTCAGCATGGAAATCTGCTGTACTCAGCTTAGAAAAAAGACTACGATTTCCAAAACTATGTCGGTCAATTCAGCACTTCTACGTTGTTTAGGGACTTGGAGTGTCGTTGAAAGCATTCCCGGGAGTCTGTAGATTTTCCTCAACAGCCACATATGCCTTATATTGAAGATCAGTTACTCGTAAGAAAGGATTAATAATAAAAAACTCTGGAAATGAAGCAGCCAATAACCTCCGACTAAAGAAAGTGTGAATGGGTTGGCGACACTTTGATGGGGGCCGTTGTGTCACAGTATCACGTCAAACCCTAAGGTGGAATCCAAATGGGAAACGTTGAGATAAGCTTCCGATGGAGATATAGAGGAGATGCTTCAAGAAGGAGATGAAAACCTTTGGTCAATTGTAAAACCAGCTAAGAGAGGATTGTAGAGAACATTTTGAAATTGAGATGTGCCTATGCGGTTCTATGTCCCACTCGACACCCAGGGGAATAATTATAACATCTTAAATGTGGCGTAATTAACGATTTTAGAACCCTTGAAAGCCGTTCTAACCTATAGTAACAACTGAAATTGGCTAGTTTTATTTACGCCTTTTAATATATAAGTTTCCTGTAAAGTCAACTAGCACGAAACCTAGGTCCAAGGCTTCCTGCCGATTGCCTTCAACCATTTAATACCATCAAATCAATGCGCACCGTGATGGCGATCTAGCTTCAATGATGGTCACATTACAACCTGACTGATAGAATTCAGTCTACACCAATCAGAGGACTAGACTCATCACACTAGTTACTAGTGTCAAATCAAAAGTCAGATTATCTTGTAGAAAACAATTCAATAGCTTGTAAAAGCTAAACTGTCACAGATGATTAAGAATATGTGGTTTTGTTTGTGGGAGATAATTCCTGCTAAAAGTAAGTATTTCCTACATGCTTTGCACCAGAATACTGTGAATCGTATTAGGTAGCAGAACATTTGGACCATGAATGTACGATCTTTTAAGTGGAGAAACATAGTTATCTGCAAACTGAGATAACTCGAAACAGGAAATATGTGCAAGCAAGCATCATTTGACATACTATTCATAGATCTTGCACTTATTTTTTTAAGACATTGCTGATGAATTTCGGAATGAGTCTGTGAACTAGGAGCATGTATAGGGATCTTTCTATTGAATGAAGGCAGTGGCTATGAAGAGATCGTCTATCATATTCGTGCGGTTAAGTGTTTTGTGGCACACTCCACTATCTACATATAAACCTTCAACTATTTTCACTACACATAAGGAACACTGGTAGAAGTCAAGTCGTCTATTCAAGCATTAAAATACTTTGTTTTTAAAGGCAACAGGTTATTTTATTTGTGAGCAGTTACAGCATATGATCATATTTCTACCTACTATCATTCATTGGAAACTCCCACTAGGACAGGCAGAAAATGAAAACAAGCGATACAGTAAGGAGACTTCAACGAGTTTATTATCAAGCTGTTCAGTAGAATATATATACATATATACGTATATAAATGATATTCTAGAATAATAATGTGAGTTGCAACACAGTATTTGTGGTTATAATCATGGCTGAATGTCAAGTGACAAAACAGGTTATGCGGCTTGTGACATAGTTCACTGAATATATGAATCTTAGAAAAGGTCTCAGAATTAATAAAATTACCTGGTCGATAAAACGTGATGTAACAAGACAAGAATCCCGATAACATTGCAAAAAATCATATTTAATTAAACAAGTGAGATAGTATAGAAAATTATTTAAACTGAAAATAATACCAACAGAAATAACAACCAATAAATACACAAAGTGAAAAAGCAAAACAAATTAAATAAATAGAGCGACTTTTAAGTTGGGAATTACTCTATATATGTCCAAACCAACTTGACTTTTAACAGTTTAAAAAATTTGGGCATTGGGTGTATGATATTCATTATAATCAATGTTTTTTGTAATTTCCAATGAAATATCAGTATAAACAATATCGTTTTGTTTTCCATCCATTGAGAAATACAAATTACCTTTATTATAACAGGAATTACTCTGGTTGACATAGACGGATTAGGATTACATAGGAAGGACTAGTTTAAGAGACTTCTTTTCTATTTCGATAGCTAAACCCTTGACAGTACAGATATACCGGATGCCCACTGATTTTGGCAGGTTATTTTTCCCTTCTTGATAGTTTTAAAGGAAAATGTTGAAGAGATAAACCGACCAGCGCCGAAAAGATGTTCGGTTACTGCGCCTATCATTGATCCAACACCACTTGTTCTTAACCATATAGGATAGTGTCCTCCCACAGCTTTGGATAAATGATATACCTAGCTTCACAGAAACAGTAAATATCCTTCATGTTTTCGAAAATGTGGAAGTGAACCTGTAATAAGCGCAATAATTGGTCAATGTTAGTTGTCTTATCTCAAAAAACACTAAGATGTTTTCGTTTTGATCAAAATAAACATATGCAAGGACGAACCATTTTCTTTTAACAAATAGAACGGGTCGTTTAACTTTGTAAAGCAGTCTTGGGGCTTGCTACTCACAGCTGTAGATGCAACCAGTAGGCAAAGTACTAGAAATGCCAGAAAGATATTTGCCATTCCAAAGGTATAAAATGAAGACCCGAATATGTCCTATAAACAATGGTTACCATTATTGGCACTCTAAAGTGCGTGCAAAATTTATTGTTTGATGATGCCAGTTGTAATTTTTTTGTGTAAAGTGTCATGTGCTCCCTTGACAATACAACCCCTAAGCATTATCACTAGCAAATCTGCGAAGAATGTCTTAATCTTTTGGCCTCAAATTTATTAGGGTTGAAGACACAGCTTCTTCTAGTAGGTGTCTGTGCTGATATGAGATGCTGTGACGCAAGGTTAGGTCACGTTGAAAGATTTATCTTTCAAAGAAAAGGAGCATGTTCTCTGTTTTCACTGTGAATGTATGAAGAAGCAAAGGTGATAATCATCACCTGTGTATGAAATATGCCTAATATACATCCTAAATTTTCAACATAATGAGGTGTCAATGGCTGTTTTACTGTTTTCAACCTTTGTTTGAACTAGGAAATGTAAACATAGGATTTAAAAGAACTACTGTTGATTATTAATAATCATGAAAACTATTTTCATGCATTTTACGTATTTTGGGAATCATTAAGTGCAGATGTAAACAACTTACTTTTTTGCCAGCAATCAGTGGTTTAATGTAGTCAAGTATGTTGAAAAATTCTTTGACAGAATATGGGGAATTAGGGGTTATCTTCTTTTTGAATTCATCTAAATCTCTCGGTAGATTTGATATTCTTTCTTTTTCTGCTAGTTCATACAGGGTTTCCGGCCTAGCAGCCGCGTCCAAGTGAACATGTAAATCGATACCATGCTGAAACTCTGGAAGCACCAACATATTTAGTATTCATAATTCCGGATGCTTATAAATACATGTTAATAGTGTATTTAAACAAATCCCATTTCTTCAGTACACGTTTGTGTAAGCCGATTTGATTTCTTTCCTCTTGATTCTTGTTTGTGAGGTAAAAATTCCTGATCTTTGATAAATCCTGCTTAGCTCGTCCCGCTACCCGACTGTTGTAGCTATGATTGATTCCAAAAAGAGTGGTGCTGGGATTGATTATATATTGCTTCTAGTATGTAGTGAGTCAAGACCATGTTGCTAGTGTGAGTGAAGTTGATCCTTTTCCTTGTTAGTCGTCCGGTGTCGTCGTCAGAAGAAAAGAGATAATAATAGCAGATAGTAAAGATAATAAAGACTCAAATCATTCACCATTTGCCTTCAAATCACCTAACATCCCCATCCCAATACGGTTTATTGCTTGCCACTTACATTATTTCAGCTTCATTAAACAATGCATAGATAATGGGCATCCAGTAACAACATTATCTCCAGACTTTAGCAAAGCCACTGATAAAGTCCCACTTATTAGACTCGTAACTAAACTCCAATCTTACGGAATAAGTGGAAAGCTTCTCAAATGGATCAATTCTCTTCTCACAGAAAGGGAGCAGTTAGTCAAAATCAACTGCCAGCTATCTTCACCAAAACCGATCACCAGTGGTGTAATACAATGTAGCAGTCTGGCTCCTATTCTGTTCCTTTCATTCATAAATGACAAATTCTCTGTGATCGAGTATGAAAATCACAACTCCTTGCAGATGACCTCAAGATAGTATATGATTATGGATATGATGACATGAGTGTCAAAATCAACATCCAACATGAGTTAAACAATCTAGGCGATTGGAGCGAAAAATGGCAACCCAGACAAATGTGGTATAGACCGTTTTGGACTTTGGAAACCGAGAATGTGCTCATATATGCTCTGTAAACCCCTTTGAGAATTAAACACATTTGCAGATCTCAGGATAACATATTCAGATATCACCCTATCCGACCATAAGAATAAGGTTGTATTTGACTGTAAAAGACTTCCTGGCTTTGTATTGCGCGACTTCTACACCCAAGGAGCAAGGTTAACTATATATAAGACATGTATCCGCCCCAAACTTGAATATTGTGCTTTCCTATTTAGTAACCTAACGTCTTCAGACGGAAAAAGAGCCGAAAGTGTGCAAAGATTCTTCATGAAACGCATAATATGGTTTGACCAACAAGTGAAATATGTCGACAGGCTTATCCGACTGAAATTAGAACTGCTATGGTTAAGGAGAGTGAAATGCAACTTTTTTCTACTCCTCAAAGTCATTAGGAAACATTGTCACTCATCAATAACGTGGGTAAGTATAAAATCATATCATACCAGCTGCGAAACCACGACTACCCCCTCAAGGTGACTACACACAGAGAATCCATTAGGGGATACTTTTCACTATTCAATAGTTCACTCTTCGGAACCAACTACCATCTGCAATTAGATCCTGTGAAAACCCCGATGGGTTCAAACGGAGCCTAGAAAGACACATTAACATGTCCACCTTAGGTCACCTAAAAGACCACAACCGTTGGTGGAGTTATGAATGGAAGACAGCCCAGCCTTCGGTGTAGTCCATTACATACAAGTCGACTCTACTACCTACGCAGCGAAAGTTTAACTAATTTACTGATTTTCCATTTTCAGTAGTCTTCAATAATTTGTGTTGGTATAAGCATTCCAGAAACAGTTATATTATCAACTACAAGTTTGAATATTTACATTTATGTAAGTAATAATTCACTGCCATTTTTGAGTCGAAATGACTTTACTCAGTCAATAACTACATTTTCTCACATACTTTTCTTAAATGTATAGTTCTATGGAATCTCGCAGTATTTTTAACATACTATAAGTTGAAGGGTTACTTTGCAATATCTGACGCACCCAATGCGCAAACCGATTATGAAAATTCGGCACAACTCGTTCCGTTAACCAGCTGTTTTCTTCAAAATCATTCTCCGTGATTTTATCGCCGACAGTTTCACTACCTATTTACCTTCACTAAAGACTACAACTTAGTTGCTAGAATGCTAACTACTTCAATTTTTACATTCCATCACGTTCCCAGTGGAACATAGGGCTCCAAGCTAGACGCTTGAAGTTTCTGTAGCAGTGTTTGATTTAACAGGATGAGGTTGCTAGCCTCATGCCAAACCTTCCCTCTTTGCCAGTCCTATTACTGGCTTAGCGAGGTTCAGGAGTGCATCGGTGGCCGGGGATCAAACCCCAGACCATGTGCATGGTCGGCGACCGTCCTAAACTCTATGCCACCGACGCACACCTCTTGACCATAAAGCAGTACTAACTAAACGTGTGCTGCATTGTCCATGTGAGTTCTGTAGCCTCCAGGAATGACTTCGCCAGAATATCTAAATCGTAGAATTCTAAAATGAACTTCAGTTGGAAATCTTCTGAAGACTGTCTTCTGTTTAAAATTTCTGCATAAAAGTTGAGAAATATATTTATATTTTATATATATATATATATTATATATTCATTTAGTGGGTGTGCCTCTAGTAAATAAAAGATAAATTGGTTTTGACATATGGACATACATGTGGACGGAGAAATTCTCAACTTGAAATCCCAGTAAGTGAGTAATGTTCACGTTTCGGCGAGGCATAAACTGTGATTAGTTCGTTGTGAGGATCTACAACAGGTGAACCAAGGCAGTAAATAAGTAATTTATGTGAAAGTAGCAGTGCTTGAGGAATTAGACATGTCGTCTAGCGAAGTGATTTACCAATATGGCACAGGTGATGTGTGTGACGCAGCTAGAAATCTTCGTTTGTTTGCTTCCACCTTGTTTCAGTGATCTCCTCACAGCCAGCAACGACTCAGCGTTGATCATCAAATGTGCTTCGAGTTAGTTGAAGTGCTTACAAGTCGTGTGTTCATCATACGAATGCTGGAAATGTTGTAAAGTAACTAATAACTGAGAGAAATTCATGTTGACGATCTATCACTCAGAAAACTAGATTTGATTTCATTGTTTTCTTTCGAATGTACGATGAATTGTAGTGTCCCACACCAGTATTTGTGTGAGACAGAGAAAGAGTGCTGACTGAATGGAAATAAAGATGTGTTAATTTTACTCGAATAAAGATGAAACAGATTCAGCTGTCTGTTTGGTGTTAGTTGTTCTTATGCTTAGTTCGCTTCTCTGCGTAAGCTGTAGGAGGAAATGTGATCACTAGTGTTGGACCAGTCCTCCTACCAGCAGCATCCAAAGATTGATTCGCATGCGTAATCCAGTCTGTCCTGCACATTATCATTACTTCAATAATTTATAAATATTTTGAGGAAGCTTAATTTCCTAGTCGTCTGTTGCAAATCACTATATACATGTGTCAATGTAGTTGAAGATTGAACGAACACTTCATGGTTATTTGCTCAAACCTAACTCCTCCATAATTTTCGCGGTCATCGTCTCATCGTTCGCTGTTCAGTGGAAGATAGAAAACTATCGGAAATAATATCGTGATTTATTGTTATAACATTTATTCTTAGACCTGGTGTATAATAATCTTATTGTTGGTTACATGTTGGAGTAAGAATAAAGGATTCTCGAGTCGCCAATTTGTGTTCTGGTTTTTTGCGTTGGTTATTACCAATTGTTTCTGAAAGTCTTCCAGGGACAGCATGAGGCCCAGAGTAGTGAGAGCTGGACATTTTTAGTTTCTGAGAGTTGGCTGACAACATGTATGCATGTAAAAACATAATACTGCTGAGAATGTCCTCGGGCATCAGTGTGCCTGGTGACCTAATGGGAAGCACTTGTTATGAAAGCCACTAATGTGCAGCATGCTGTATAATTGGGGCAGGCTCAAAACGTTGCAACGCTGCAATTACACATATTGCTAAAATATCTCAGAGCTTAACATCAAAAAGGGAGAGGGTGGCGCATGCTGGCCAACAGGTATGGAAGTGGTCACAAATGTGAATCTTTCTGATCTGTGGGACAGCAACAAGTATTTTTTGACAGCTCGAGAAATGAACATTAGTCTGGGTACTTGACAAACAATGGGGGTTGTATAGATCTAAACAATAAAATAGGATGCTTCTGCTACTGCTATCCACACGTTTGCTCAGCTTGTCAAGATGCTGCCCCATCGGCGCCTCAAAAATTCGTCAGACATCCTACAGATCAGCTTGTCTTAATGGTTCTAATCTTCCAGATCACGAAATATCACTTATCTACCTCAGGATAACCGTTTATTTACGCATTATTGCACTCTACTTTATCTTAACTACCTGGGCCTTCCGTAAAGCTACAACTTACTCTTTGTTCATATTTGTTGCTTGCTTAAATTCTGGTTGCTTTCATGGAGAATATGAAAACACTAATGTTTGAGCATAGCTATATTTTCATCGAAAATGTCATAGTTCCTATTCTAGGACAGTATGGTTAATATTCAACATTGCAAATATATTCTATCGCCCCAAGGAGTCTTCACCTTCTCCTTGTCTATATCTTGTAAATGTACTTAGAATGGTGCTTGTCTAAATAATCAAATAAACGAACAACATATATATACAATATACAAATTAAAGGCTCGAGATATTTCTGGTTTTTATGAGGGCTTAGATCTTTATCTTGAAAAAGATAATGATGAACGCCTTGACAGATCATGCTTCTACCTTTAAATATATACCATTCACTCATCCTATTGTTCAGATGCGACCACGCGGGATCTGCACAGATTTATGGGGCATCTTATAAACTAACTTGCTGTCCATTGTCGAATCATTAAATACCACTTCACAATTTCTTATCTCATTTATTTTCTAATAACGTCTTTACTTGAGCCTCATTATATCCCATTAAACCTAACATTTTATAGCTTCTTATGAATTTGATTCGACTTATTCTATTCCTATTCTCTGGAGGGTACGGTTGTGCTCCAAATGCACAAAAAGGCATAAAATAAAAAAAACCGGCGTGAGGAAAAAA